ATTGGGGACCGGCAAATTCAAATTCAATTCTTTTCAATTTGGTCACAAAACAAAGGAAGTTGATTTGAATTCTGAACTGGAATGCCAGGAAGATGCATTTACTGAAGTATAATGCAAAGAAATCAAACACTGATAATGCATTCTGGGAAATTAAGTGCCATTCCACCCTGGAAAACAAAAGTTAATATGCTAAATATGATGCTATGGTTCAAATATTGGAGGTCTTGATTGGGGATAATGGATAATTAAAGATTTCCGCAGTGACACAAATTGAAAAAAGTAAAGGATAATTAAATAAAAGTGGCACTTATAATGCTAAAAATTCAGCTTTGCCATCACAGGAATACATTTACATTTTAAATATTTTAAAATGGATAACAGATCTTTTTAATTTAAAAAATATTTCAAAATATTACTATATTCACTGTATATTTCATCAAGAAAAAAGTAGCATAAAAAATCTTACCAACCCTAAACTTTTGAACGGTAGTGTATATAAACTATCTATCTATCTATCTATCTATCTATCTATCTATCTATCTATCTATCTATCTATCTATCTATCTATCTATCTATCTATCTATCTATCTATCTATCTGTTCCTATAATTGTTCAAACTTCAATTTTAAAATAGAAAAACTGTTTTTCCCCAAAGCTGTTATTTTTCTTTTTTTTTCTAGTTAAAAATACAGTTATATGGACTTATTTAAATTCCAACTGCATTCAAATTCAATTCAGATTTAGGAATCTAAACTGCATTTTCAATTCAGTTACGAATGGTGCACAATCCTAGTACACATAATGTATGTTACATCTCTAGAGCTTTATGTATTAATTAATTTATTGCTGCTTATTAAGTTCATCTTCCTACAAAGGAGATTCTCGATGGAAAAGGACAAAGAGAGACGTGATTTATTATATCTTAAGGAAGTGGCTTTATTTTAACCGTGATTAATCCCTGTTCATGCCCACAGAAGCTCACTTTGTAGAAGCCACCCAAGAGACTCATGGGATATTACCACTATCACACTCCAACAGTAAAATAAACAAGCCCTGAGTTGCGTGCGCTTCCAGAAATCTATCAGTACGCCCCATAAATACTACTGATACTGTATGAAACCCAGATTTCTTTTCGGGCTTGAAAAACAATGTCGTTCATCAATTACCAGACATCGAAGACAACATAACCGTTTTAATAAATCTCAAAAATCTCGTCCGAAGGCAATTCCACAAATCATTTACGATGCAAATCTCAATCTTATTGCTGGACAATAAATGTATTGACATTTGCATTTTATGACCGAACTGAAAAAAAAAAACCCTCGATAAATGGACGTTCTGTCTTTCCCATGCTGGGCTGAGCGAGTAGAAAAGTTTGGAAGATGTACAGAGTGAGGAATGGAGCGTCTCCGCAGAAACGTGAATCACGCTGCATCATTCACCAACAAACAAATGTAATCTCTCCACCCAACCCGGCAGCTTCATCATGCTAAAGCTCCTGACAGCAAAGGAACATAAAATGAGCAGTCCAATTCGTCTCCCCAAGGCAACATCACTCCATCATTCCTCTACTTCTTTTTCCCCCCTTCCATCGAGTGCCTGGAAAAGAGTGAAGATAAAACAATCCTTCGTTCACCTCAGGGAATAGGGGCAGGTGCTTGAAGGTGCGAATGCGATGAAGGCTTTGTTTCTATTCTGTTGTTAACAAGACAAATGCCGGTGCTGTTTATGGCAACTTACTCTTCTTACTTCCTGTGTCATTATTTGGTTTGACACTCTGGATCCAGAATACTCTAAATATAGTTCTGCGTGTTTTCTTATTTAACTTTCATTTGCAACCTCATTTCTCATATTCAAGAACAGATTCGTGCACATAACAGCATTTTTTAAATAAATTTTAAATAGATAGTTCAGCCACAAATTAAAATCCTGTCATCATTTACTCAACTTCATGTTGTTACTCAATTTCATGTTCATACAAGCCTGTATGACTTTTGTTCTGGGAAACTAGAAAAATAAATACATTATTATTATTTTTTTTTTTGCATTGCAAGGAACGTGTATGGGGTCCAAACAGTGTATGGCCAAAAAACTGAAACATTTTCCAAAATATACAACAGTTCAAAAGTATGAGGTTGGTAAGATGTTTTTTTATTTTTTATTTCTGATTTTGAAACAAGTCTCTTATGCTCACTAAAGATGCACTTATTGAATTAAAAATACAGTAAAATGCAGTAACATTGTGAAATATTATTACAATTGAAAATAATGTTTCTCTTTAAATATACATATATTGAAATTTGATTTATTCCTGTGATGCTAAACCTGAATTAGTCCTGCATTCAGAAATCATATATATATATATATATATAGAGAGAGAGAGAGAGAGAGAGAGAGAGAGATATAATATAAAAATTATATATATATATATATATATATATATACAAATAAAAATTTCCGTCTATAATGGAAAAATTCAGTGTATAACGTGTTTTTATGGAAACCATTTTTTTTTCAGAATTCTTTGATGAATATAAAACAAAAATTTTAAATAGCAAAGACATTGTTACAAAAGATTTCTGTCACTGCTGATCATTTGCAAAGCATCCTTGTTACATAAAATAATTTCTTCTTATATATATATTTTTAATTATGATGTATTTTCTTTTGCATTCCACAGAATAAACAGTTATACTGGTTTGGAATTAAATAATGGTTTGTCTATTGTGACAAAATATTTTTATTTTTTTTGGTGAACTACCCTTTAAATGTCTACAAACCTCCTGTATACATAACCTCTATAACATCTCAGCAAAGGGGTCTTGTGCTAACGCAGGCCTCTAAGCTTCGGATCGGGCGTCCGGCCAACAGGAAGCTCTCCCAAAGGGTGACGGAGAGTGGGCAGCCATGCACTGACTACTTCGAAGGGACAAAATGGAGTTCGTCAGACAGATGGATATAATTCAGTCATTACACACACATGGCCTCAGATTCATCCACTCGGCTTTCAGAACAATACAATTACCATGTTGTACTTCACCTTGTGACCTCAAAACATCAAGCAGAGCAAGAGCGTCACGTTCTTGATCTTAAAAAGGAAAGGAAAGATGAAAGGAAAGTCTAGATTGTTTATTCTGAATAAAATCAACGGAGATTTGGTTTAGAAGAAATCGGATTTAAAAATGTTCCATGCACTATGAGCTAGTGTCTTCAAAACAAGTAAACACAGATTACAGTCAAAGATTGCCCGACTTCTGCTTTAAAGGTCAACCTGGTCAGCTTCTTCAGATCACACATTCACAAAGCATAAGCTGTTGGCTGCAGCCTCATTTATCACTTCCTTTTCAAACCAATAGACATCAACTGGGAATGCAAAACATCCCAAATTTATCTGAATTAAGATGGTTTCCCAGATTGCTCTAGTCATCATAAATTAAAAAGTAGAAGACTGACTTCTCTGCCAATGCTTTATTGACTTGTTACACATGATAATGAAGTCAAAAAGAAAACCGCTGGTACCTGTGATACAAGCCACAGACAATCGTTTTCCTCGAGTAGAGAGGACAGTTAATTATGACTGACAGTTATGACCTCAGAATATGCGGCATGGCTAATCTAGACACGTTTGTTCAAGTCTATCCTCGTATTGCCCTGATGCAGATCCTCCAATGCAATCCAGTCTTTAATATAGTTGTCTTGGACTATATGGTTGACTGTAAAAATAATACTTTTCCACCTCTAATGCTGGATGTTCATGAGGCAGAGCAGCATAAGGCAGTGGGAAGTTTTGCTGCTGTTTTCTGGCAGGGATTTCAGGACCGCGGACAGCTACCGGAGCAGGGCCAAACTCTGTCAGCCTTGGATCATATAATGTCTATACTATGGCCTGTTCATTAAACCCCACAGACGTTGCTGTAAATTAATACACATATACAAGCTGAAAAGTGAACAGTATTTATAGGAATTTCATTTATTCTATATTAATAGCAGCCTTAGTAACAATAGTAATATATATATATATATATATATATATATATATATATATTATAGGAGCATTGGCCGCAAACGTTTATTTTAAACGTCAAGCATCCGCAACTTATTTAAAGTGAAACTAGCAGCCAGTGTGAAATGCGCTAGGCTATACGCGTCTCTCATTTTGCACCAATACAGATGTACGAGCGGTGCATGTTTTGCTTGTTGACGATATTTACATTATATGAGTTGCTTTGGAATTAAGTAGCAGCACAATTCAGATTATAAAAAACACTGATCTATATATCTATTTATCTACATGTATATGTGTGTGTGTGTATGTGTACAGTAAAAAAAATAATTAAAATATTTTAAGCAATATTTTTTATGTATATAGAACGAAGCATTTAAGGGTCTGACCAATCAAACAAGCAAAGAAGCAACAGCCTGCATCTCTGCCTCCAGCACTACAACCCTAATTCTAACCAAATCTAAACTGATAACCATCTGAATACCTGCACATTTTTATTCTCGCATAATAATTTGTATAAAACTATGACGAATCGAATCATGCCTACAAATGTATGTCATGTCACATTGCGACCGAATGAATGAAAGAATGAATGAAAGAAAGATTCGACCGCAAAGATGGAACACTGTGCAGTTGTCCATAGCGCACACATTTATCAAACACGCACGCATGAGCGCACGCGCGCGCACACACACACACACACACACACATACACACACACACACACACACACACACACGAGAGAGATAAAGACAGTGGAAAAAAAGCTCACAGCCGGCGAGAGGACGCTTCAGTGGATATGTGTATGAATATATTTTAAACTACTGTTCAAATTACACAAGTGACTGTATTGTGACCTTTTTAATGACTATTTTAAGTGCCCTTAGATGTTAAGGACGCAATATCCACTATGATTTTAATGGTAACCAGATGCACTAGGTGTCAAAAAGACGTCAAAGTGTCCAGTGATGCAAATATCAAACCACGAATGACTTACTTTCTCAATCTGTGAGGTTCAAATCGCAGACGTTCCGTTCGCTTCCAGAGCACGAAAATCCATCCGCAATTCTCAAGCAATGAAGCGCGATGCGAATGAAATGTTCTTCAGCGTGTACTCTGCAAGCTATCCAAGAGCAGTTTTGCATTCACTAGCTTCTATGAGAAGAAATTCGCTCCTGTATATCCACTCGGTCTTCCCGTCAATGCCATCATATGGACGAGTGGCTCTAGAACAGATATCTCGATGCTTTCTTGCCCCGCATCATCAAATTCCGGTGTAGCTATACCAAGTCTTTTTCCTGCTTATAAATCAATTAATTCGTCGTCTCCCTGGTTTTGCGTGTCATTCTTGGCGTTCAACAACACAGATCTGGGGTTTCACATTTAGCCAATACGCATCTAGATGGGGTTTATCCCTGAGATGGACCATTCCCTGCATTTCCTTCTTCATCCCAATCTTCAACAGACCATAAACGCAGACAGCTGATGTTCTTATTCCACAGTCGTGGTTTAAAACGGAACTTTTCTTCCTCCTTTACGCACCCGATCTGATTAGATTTCTACTCACAGCCCAGTGCGGATTTCAAGATGCTTATTTCCTTGAAATGTGATTATGTCCTACGGAATGCCTTGAGAGGGGAGCCTCGTGCGTTGGCAAACGCAAATATTCGTATATCACATCCTATACAAGACCACCAGGATCACTTGAAAAGGTGGAAAAAAGGAAGAAAATCCTCCAAGTGTCTTTTTGTTTTCAAGGAAAGTGGACGAAAATGCGCCAAAATGTCCCAAATCCCTTTTTTAGTTAAATGACAGATGCATACACTAATCACAGTCGTAGTTCCTTTTCAAACGCGTATAAACTTGTCATAGACGAGGTATTTATCAAAAGCTACATCCCACCAGATACTACTCAATACAGTTCAACTCCGGCAAAAAGCAATCCAGTGACGCGACGAAAATCCATGCGAATGATGCTGCGCTCCGCGCCAAGCCGAAGGAATTACGCAGCGCGAGAGAGCTACAAGTGAGTCACCCCGAGAGCAGGAACATCTAAAGAGGTGAGACCCGTCGAATACGTCGAGATCTCGTAAGTGAATGAAGTTCTAGTGTGAAGTATCTAGTGTGGTACCCAATGACGCGCGGCTCTCTGTGGGTATCGCTGGTGACACCAAGAATCTTCTAACACGTATTGATGTAGCCCTCAGCCTAAAATCTCACTCTTCTGACTGTCCTCACTGGCGTCTTCTTGGATGCGTAAAAGTCAATGGCCCAATAATATTTTTCCATCTTAACAATGATTGGTCGAGTGCAATAACCCTGAACGCTATAGATTATATGACGCGCCTTCGGACAGGTCTGTAGCGCCTGTTTGACGCACACATGTGCGTGTGTGATTGTGTATAGCCTGTGTACTAAGTGTGAGGGTTTGATGCTGCTTCTTCCCGTCTAGTGCAGAAGGGACACGACTGCCATCTACCGGCGCTCCGTCCCCTGTCTAGACGCTGAACTCAGCCTTACGACCACCTGAGCCTTTCAAAAAAAAAAACCTTGAAGCAAGCATGTAATTTTCAAACCACAGATCATAAGCACGTTCTAGTGACCTGCATACGCCTCCGATGGTTATGAAGTCTGTAATATATGCTATACGTTCAGGGGGACTGTGGTAAAACACACAGACCTCGGGTCGCATACATTTCTACAGCAAAGAGGCAGTTTAGAGATGGATGAGACTGCACTGTAAAGAAAGAAAGACAAATAAAAAATGATGAAATTAAATAAAATAAGTGAATGCCTTCATATCTGAAGTAAAATCAAAGTGTATCCAAAGTGACAACCTGTATTTTTGACCACTTCAAATAGTGTCAAGCTCTCATAACTCATCAAACAAAAAGAAAGTAATTACTGAAATTGTTGTGACAAGTTAAATGGATGGAAACAAAGATGTTGTTATAATGACAAAGGAAAAAATATATATTTAAAAAGCTGAGAATAGAAAATATACATGACATAACACTGTAAATAACTCTCTCTCTCTACATATATATATATATATATATATATATATACACACACATTATATATATATACAGTATATATATATATAAAATGTATAATAATAATTAAATAATTAGTTTTACTGTAAAATTACACGTGATGTTAAAAAAAATTACAGTTTTTCACTGTATATGGTCAGGTAACTATTATTATTATCATTAATTTATTTAATGTATTTTTTATTTTTTTTTAAGAAAATGAATGGGAAAAATATTTCCTGGGAGAAGAAGAAGAAGAAGAAGAAAAAAAAAACAGGCACTCTCTGTTGTGCTCTGTTGCTATATGGCATCATTCTAAAAAGCATTTTATTGGACCAGAATTTGGATACACATGCTGAGTGCAAGATTAGCCTTGAATATTTTGGTCCGTTTCCCCAAAAGAGACAGAACGTCAAATTTAAGGGCACATATCCTCTTTTAGAAGCAGATGGCCTCAAAGTGAATAAACTAAAACTCATATTTTGGAAAGAAATGCTTCATCCAAAAATGACAACTTGCTGAAAATGTACTCATCCCTAGGCCATCCAAGATTTAGATGAGTTTGTTTCTTCACCATCACTTGCTCACCAATGGATCCTCTGCAGTGAATGGGTGCCGTCAGAATGAGAGTCCAAACAGCTGATAAAAACATCACAATAATCCATAAGTAATCCACATGAGTCCAGGCCATCAATTAACCTCTTGTAAAACCAAAAGCTGCATGTTTGTAAGAAAACAAAATCCATCATTAAGATGTTTTAACTTTAAACTGTTTCATGCAGCCAAAATATGAGTCAAAAGTCCATAAAAACACTTCCTCTGTTGTCTTCTCACATCAAAATTTACCAGCATATTTGTTTATAAAAGTTTTGGATGGTTTTCACTTTTAAACGGTGCTTGATCTATGCGTATTTCTCTCCTAATTCAGACAAAACGACTTTTTCTCTGGATAAAGGAATATTATGGATAAAGGACTCATATTTAGCCGGAAGTAACGGTTTGAAATTGAAACATCTTATTGATGGATTTGTTTCTTACGAATATGCGGCTTTTTACTTCACAAGACAGCAATTGATGGACTGGAGTTGTGTGGATTATTATTGTGATGTTTTTATCAGCTGTTTGGACACTCATTCTGACGGCACCCATTCACTGCAGAGGATCTACTGGTGAGCAAGTGATGTAATGCTAAATTTCTCCAAATCTGTTCTGATGAAAAAAACAAACTCATCTACATCTTGGATGACCTGATGTACAGTCAATTTTCAGCAAATGTTGGGTGAACTGTTCCTTTAAGCCTTATTTTCAAACAGTGTTCTTCTCTTTGACTGAGTAAATCCTGATTTGCATGTCAAAAAAGACTGACTTCCAAACTTTTGAGTGAAATTTCCCGAACCGTTTTCTCATTCCTTTAGCGGAATATGCTTGTCAGCATCTCGTCACATCCTCGCGCTTCACGGGCATCTCGTCATTTATCTTTCCGCACGCCCGTCCACCTGCCCATCAAGCACAGCCAAATCAGCTAAATATGGGTGAAGATCAGCTCCTCCTCTCCTGCTGTCTGATTGAGTCATCCTAATTGTTTGACTTTAAAGGGCAGGTGTGCTTCTGTGACTGACAGTCCAGTCTTCAGCACAGTCTATTCACACACAAGCTCCAAACAAAACAAACGCATATGACCCTTAAACATAGGGCCTACTTAACAACAGCTTTCTCAAATGCATCTCTGAAACATAAATACATTATCTGACAGCTCCGGGTTGACTTATATGCCCACATCATCGTGATGGCAAGGTAGCCTTGTTATGACAGCCTTATCTAATGGTCCAGATTTAAAGCTTTCATTTTACAGCCCTCTGACGATTCTCCTGTGACCACTACGTTTCACTTAGGATGTTATTTGCTTTGTGGGAACCATCTGAATGACCATAACATCTATCTTAATGCAACCATTCATTTCTCTACAGGGACACCAGAGGAAGAGGTGATTGACGGAACATTTCTATAGCGAAGTGCTTTCAATTTACTCCCAAGCAGGTTGAGCTCAAAAGAGAAGACGCTGAATTAAATTAAAGCACAGCATTACCTTGCACTGGCTGTAATGTGGACTGGCAATGCTCGTCCTTTATGTACACGTTAACGCAAAACCTTGGTTATGCTGCATCATGTAACCACATAAAACAAAGGTATGAACATTTTCTGAACAAAACATGAGTGGTTCTGATTTTTTTTTGTTGCACACATTTTTTTCACACATAGCAAAAGTATTAATATATTCAAAAAAACATACTTACTTTTCACTGTCTTATATGAAATAATAGCTACTAAACAACAAAAAATGTGGTACTGTATTAAACTCATTCATTTGACTTACAAAATACTACAACATTCACAATGGGCATTTTTACCTACGCATTGTCAGATGAACAACTAGCCCACAAATACAGTATACTGATTCATGTAGATTGTGTTTGATTCGCTAAAACAAACAGACTACCAGGAAAAAAACAGTTTTGTGAATTTAGTATTTTGTCATGTCATTACATTGTTTAGAGCATAAGAACATTTTTGAAAAATAAAATTTTTGAAAAATGACATTTTATTCATATGCCATGTCCTCTGTAGATTTTTTATTTAAAAAAATAAAAAGACACGAAAAGGCAAAATGTGTGTAAAATGGCCATAAACGAGTTTTTCCATTATGTACAATGTATCTATAAACTGTATCAAATTTGCATATTAATGTGTTTTTGGGGCAACATAGAATGAACAAATAAGTGCAATAATAGGAGTAATAATTAGCAAGATTTTCATAATAATATGTAATATTTAATAGGAATATTGATATATAATATTTTCTCTATTCATTTGTTGTGTCTCTCAAAATGTGTAATAAACATGCTTTAAGTCCTGGTGTCCTCTACAGTGGACATGTATGAAATTGATGTCCTGTTTCATAACAGAAGGTCATATTTTGATTTGAAACCCCATAACATTTTCCTGAGATGTTGATTTATGACAAACAATTTGTCAATTTGTCAGATTTAAATGATAATTACAAAATATTATCATATTTCCATTAGAGTGTTACATTTGATCACTAAATGAATGTCAGCCTTTTTAAAGACCAAAGAGAGGGAGTGGTCACGGTGAAACATCCAATCATTTGGTATCTCTGGAAAGCCCTGAATGTGCTCTATACAGGACATCCAGATTGTGAAACTGTGAATTGATTAAAACTGTAACATGTAACATCTCAGAGAAATCGCTAACACATAATGTCCTCTACAGTGGACAAAACTCCATAGCTGGTAGTCAGGAGTATATGAATCATTCACTCTGGAATCGATCGGATTACACTGTTCATGCTGTATGTGTTTGATTCACTTATAAGAATTGATTCATAAAAGTAATTTGTTCAGGAACACAATCTAATTATTAAAATAAAATAAATAGATATTAAACAATTGCTTCTAAACATATAAAAATGTTGTAAGGTATTAAATTAGCCAATTTAACATTTATGTAAAATACTATAAAACTCACAATATTTTTAATTACACATTGTCAAATGAATAACTAGTCAACATTTACTTAGCTCATGTTTGGTTCACTAAAAAGAACAGGCTTATAAGAATCATACAATTGTATGTGTTTGATTGACAATAATATTCAGAATAAGAGTCTTTTGAACAGGAATCGGGCTACACTGGCCGTGCTGTTTGTGTTTGAGTCATT